CATGGGTACTTCCTTTGCCTAATACATCAGTTGAAACCTTTCAAAAATTTGAGAGAGTCGTTGTTTAATGGGTATAAAGTTTCAGATTTGCAAGGTGAAAAAATTCTGGAGATCTGTTTCATGACACTATGAATATTGAATTTCTGAACCATACACTTAAAAATGGTTAAGATGGTAAATTTTAGGTGTTATTCACCAAAATTTTTTTTAAAAGAAAACTTAAAAAAAAGAAATAAAAACAGTACAGAGAGCTCCAACACAACAGAATAAACCCAGTGGACCTGGACATTTCTTTCTGAATTCAAAAAGGGGATCAGAATATGCCACCCTAAAATATACCACTTTCACATAAGGATTATTTTGAGCTAAAATCAATTAAGAAACAGCAGATTGGGGGGAAGTGGTGGACTAATGAGTACAAAACTGTGCTCTCTACCCTAAGTGAATCCTTGTACAGTATTTGCATGTATTGAAACAACATACTATATACCCCACAAATATGTACAAGTAAATGTTAAAATATTTTGAATAAAAAAATAAAATTTGGTTGTGACCAAAAAAAAGAAAGAAACAGCAGTCACAGGAAGAACTCTCCACTCTGCCCTGCTCCTTTCTATCTAAAAGCAGGGCAAAAATTTCCCTTTGTAAGGTTAACACAGGTTTCCATTTGTAAAGGTGTCTCCATCTGTACCAGGAAGAGAACAACTCGTTATCACTTAACTAATCTTATTACATGAGATGGCACTGACTTGAGGCTGCATAACAAACTTTACTTAACAACTCTTATCTACTGTATATTTCCTAGTCACCTCCCCACAACTGACTGCTCCCAGAAGCCCAAACCACCTTGCCTTCCTTTGTCTAGTCACTTCACAATTTATCACCCTTTGTTAAAATGGAATATAAACTCCCAGGCTTAATTGCTTCTCTGGGTTTTCAATTCTTTTCTATAAAGCCCCTGTGGGAGAAAAAACCTTTTCTCCTATCTTTTGTCAGTTTAATTTGCAAGTCTTGGAGTTCCAGTCAAGATGGCGGAATAGACAGTCCCCAGCATCACGCTCTCCCACAAATCAACCAATTCACAACCATAAAAACGTAACAACAGCCAAGTGGGGACCACTAGAGCTCAGGGGAAGAGGAAGAGAGACTATAGAGTTCATGAAGGCAGGAGAAGCCACGATGAGAGTAAGAAAAAACTGCTTGGAGTGTTTTGGGCTATGGCCACTTTAAGGCTGGAACTGCTGAACACATGGAGCAGGAGCCAGCAGAAGCCACTGCTGTGCCCTTCGGATGGAGTTGCAGGCAGGGGAGGGGAAGAAGGAAGGGGCAGTTGGAGGTGGCAGGGGAGAAGAGGGCCTTGGTGGCACCCAGGACAGCAAGACCACTAATAGGGTTCCCATGGACCCAGACAGGTGTGAGGAGCCAGAACAACTGAAAAAAAGAGCCATTCAGAGGCCAGTGAGTCATCGCAAGGGACCAGTGCAGGGCCTGTTCCTTGGGAAGTGTTTGGAGCATGGGCAGTGGTAGAGACGGGCTCACCAGGGGAACCCTGGGACACAGCAAGGTCAGCCGATCCCCCCACCTGAATCTGCGAAGGGCCACTCAGAGGAGACTGATCAGGAATACAGAATTGCATGGGGTGCAGTTTGATGAAAAGACTCAGGCCCAGATCACAGTTTCTACACAACCAGCTGCACCGGGTCTCTGGAGAGCCAGAAGTATAAGGTCAACCATTAAACCCTGAGCTGCACCAAAAGCCTTCACTAGGGAAACAGCAGCAATGCAGCAATTTAGCTCAACCACACAGCTCAAGTACTGGTTCCCACAGGAAGTTCCCCCATTTTAGAAGTAAGCAAAGGACAAAAAATTAGTTCCTGCCCAGGCACACCACCAGCACCTCAGGGCCAGTCCAGGACCCAGGGCATCGAGCTGGGGACCAAACCCCCTGCCCACAACCAGGCACACCACCAGTGCCAAGGAGCATGCCAAAAACATCACCTCCATGTGGGTGGCCCACCACAGTCACCATGGCTGCCACGAAAGTGGCTAGACATCACAACCGCCATGCAGATGGTCCACCAGCCACTGGAGTGTACAAGGAGAGTCACCAGCAGAGGCCAAAGAAAAGGTTGTCTCTCTCCACAAAGTCCATTCCAGAGTGACAGAAGAAGCATCTGCTCTATGATAATATTGGGGGGCCTGATCACACCTCTCAGCATTTGACAGATCATCTAGGCAACAAATCAACAGAGTAACCAATACTTTTTCAGAGGGAAAGAAGAAATCTAGGGTTATCAGTGGTGGGAGGGGGGAGGGAGATGCAATAGGGAGAGACTGGACAATGGGCATAAAGAATAAGTAAAATTTGTAACAATATACATACTAGTAATATTGATTTGATCAACATATGTCAACACTGAATCCAAAAATATGTATAATCAATTATGATTCAATAAAAAAATAAAAATAAGGGGCCGAGCCCGTGGCGCACTCGGGAGAGTGAGGCGCTGGGAGCGCGGTAGCGCTCTCGCCGCGGGTTCGGATCCTATATAGGCATGACTGGCGCGATGCGCTCACTGACTGAGCGCGGTGCGGCCGGTCACAAAAAGGACACAAAAAATAAATAAATAAATAAGAAAAATAAAGTTAAAAAAAAATTTGCAAGTCTTAGCTTCATGACTTAAGAGGGTAGAGGAAAAGTTTTTCCTCCTTTACATTACCTTGATGGCCCCTGTGTACCATGGCAGTGGTGTATCTGTACATTGACAACTATAGCAGATCAATTTTTAGTACCCTCCTCCTCAATATAACCAAATTATTTTCAGTAATATTATGAAATGAAGCAAAAAGTGCAAATGGTGACAATTTTTTAAATGAACTTCATATGTATAATTATGCCAGGAAACAAAATTAAAAATAAATAAATAATACATATGCACAGTAGAAAAAAAGGAAATATGAATAACTATTTCAACAATTTTCTAACAATTGGACCACAGATCTCTTGGTTACAATATGATATAATATTTTATGCAAATAATTTTCTAGCAATTAATAATTGAATATTAAAAAAACTGAAAAGTCTGCAGAAAGTACAATTTGGGCAAGTGCTAAATCACATCATTGCTATAATGGTTTTACTTCTTTATTCAGTCAATAGTTTTAAAAGAGACCATTTTAAAAAATGATTTTCAATTTTAAAAATATCATCATCCAAATTCGGTAAGAAAAAGTTCATCTACAAACTAAAATTAACATTTGCCAAATAAAAAAAAATAGTATACTTTACAGCTCTCCCTTTGTTTCACTGTTTTTAATTTTACTTATTTATTTTTTGGTGGCAGGCCAGCCAAGGATCACGAACCCTTGACCGTGGGGTTACAAAACTGTGCTCTGAACAACTGAGCTAACCCGCCAGCCCTGTTTTGAATTTTAAAAACAACTAAAAACTCCAAGCGGTGGCACAGAATAAAGAAGTTGAAATGACTTAAGATCTGTTTCTTCATCTTTACCACAATTATGCTATCACTATGTATTTCAAATCTTTTGTTTAAATGAAGGCAATAGTATCACAGTGTGGAAACAGGAATTGCAACACCAATCACTTGGAAACCATTATCGAAGAAAGCATAGCTGTGTCCACGCATGGCACCAGGGCAACTCTATAATTGGGAGTTTTTCCAATTATCTTTGATCTAAAACACATTGTCTACTAAAAAATAAGTAACAAAAATTTACATGAGAATAATTAACTTGTATGTAAAGTACATTATCAAAAATAAATTATATACATACATATAAAATTAAAACACATAGTAACCACAGCAATTGTTTAGAATAAACTAGCAAAAAAATTTTTGAGGGGAGGAGTTTTTTATCACTGACCTTGTTTAGAATTGCTGGCACATGGTAATAACAAAAAGCAGAAGGACTTTAGTTGGCTTTATTATTGTTTTTAAATTCCCTAGAGACAGTGCACCCCCTTACTGCCTACAGCTGAGTGGATTGCTCCCTATCACACCTCCTTTGGTACACTATGTTTCATAGTTAAGCTCATTAAGGTTGATTTTGTTAACTTCATCATAATTTATAATGCATTCTGGTTTCACAAGGGAAATGTTGGAGATTCATTTTTTTAAATGAGCAAACCTACAGTTCCTTACATAATAAAAATGATCACTCAATGACTTGTCTTCCGTGTATTTAATTTTCTTAAATTGAAGAAACTCAACAGGAAAAGAATTAGAAAGGGGCTACAATGGTCAAAACGCAAATTGCTGGAGTTTCCAGATGAATGGTGTCCATGAGTGAAGAAGGCAGAGGAGAAAGGCTGTGGTGCTGAGAGGCAATGCCCCGCAAAGCCCCTGCTTGGCCAGTTCCAACCGGATCCTTGCTGGGACACCAGCCCAGTATACCCAGAATCCGCTCATTTTTTCATGAGGAGCTGATCATCTAAATGGCTAGTTAAGATTTCCTGACTTAAATGTTGGAAATTAATTCAAACTCTAGAGAACACTGCAGTGCAAACAAAACACATCCACAGCTGCGTGCGCCCAGGGCTACCAATTTCCTAATGAAAAATGCAAAAGTAGCAGCTGAACCAGCTTAAAGAGGTTGAGAAAATATGCTTCATTCTCTGATCCTTTTCCTTTCCTAAAATGTGACATTTTGGAAAAATTCAGATACACTTACATCAAATCCACAATTATCTGCAGTTTAACGAGAAAAGCAGCATAATTAGACAAGGTGGTGGGGAGTGGCCTGAACTCCCAGGGCAGTACTTTCTCTTGAATGAGGGCCAAGGATGGTGTCACCCAGATGCCTGTTGACTAACTGATACACAACAGATTTATTTAACCACTGGCAAACCACATTTCCTTTTCCAGGGCAATAAGTTAAAAGATTATTTGCCTCCCTTGGTTACAAAGAGAGGAAATACTTCTTCCTAGATTCAGGACAGCTGCGACCAGTTCTCCCAGAGAAATCATTAAACCTCAAGGATTCAGACAGAGTACAGAGCCCTGAAGACGTGACCACACGCCTCCCCGCAGCTGCAGGCACTGGCACCTTCACAGAGGTGAGTGTTTGCTTTGCCCACCAAAAGCTTCACTCCCCCTTCCCCTACTCCATGCATTAGGGTCAGTAGACTGTAGTTAAGAAAACCAACCTAAATCTTGTATCTAGATCTCATTTGAATTGGCATTTGGCATATTAAAAGTGAAGGTTTATTCAAATTAGAGATAAAATAGAAGCTGTTCCCCACATTTACACAGATAATTAGACCTTCTCACATTTTAGTGAAAAAGATGTTGGGCTAAGTCCTCTCACAGACTTTCCCACTGAGTATCCCCAAGGCTCAGCTCCTATGTGGGACAAGTCAGAATTAAAAGCAAGAATCTGGAGAAGTCTTTGTTCTCAGCGGCCTGTAAGAATTATCTGGTTTCAGTGGCATGAAAACTCCCCTGTGTGGCTGGGTTGCCATGACTCCTCGCTGGGACCCCCGGGGCTACTGAGTCTATGACTGTGAATCCAATTTCAGTCCCTGTGAAAAGGTTCGCATGGTTCCAGCCTCACTGTTCAACCAAATAAAGGACCCAAAGTCTAACATTCGACTCTGCCTACCCTGAAGAAACAGGTCTAAGAAGGGATTTACACAAAGTGATAGTCATTGCCTTGTATGATGAGAGGAAAAAAAATTTCAAAGCGACTCTTTCCGTTTTTCACAAATCAGCTTCTTTGTAAGGAAATGTCCATTTGTAATAATTTCAGTTCTGTCCACAGATGCTTTTTTGGTGTCTTAATGCTACCTAGCGTATAAACATAGTTTTGTTTTTTTTTTTAAAGATGACTGGTAAGGGGATCTTAACCCTTAACCCTTGACTTGGTGTTGTCAGCACCACGCTCTCCCAAGTGAGCTAACCGGCCATCCCTATATACGGATCTAAACCCTTGGCCTTGTGTGTTATCAGCACCACACTCTCCCAAGTGAGCCACGGGCCGGCCCTTAAACATAGTTGTTTGATTAGTTGTTTATGATAAAGCAATGTGTAAACCTGTTAATTTATTATAGTCCTAAATTCTATACCTCTGAATTTAAGTTCACTGGTGTCAATTCTAACATTTAAGTCTGTAGTGTGGATAAGAGGCAAAAACTTCTACATGTAGTAAGTGAAGATTTTTTAGTAGTTTGTAGTATTTTGTAGTATGCTGCTCCTCAAAGGTGTTCAGAAAATTGCAGTGGATTTCCAAGTCAGTGATTATGATTTATACTAAAAAATCATTAAAATTCTCCAGTTGAATGTTAAAAAAAAGAAAGAAAAATGTCCATTTTTATATCTGTTTTCCAGGGTTTATGTTCTGTACTGATTTTTTTTTTACAAACAAAAAGATTAGAAATGATAATTTAAAAAATGAATATGACTTGATCTTATTCTCCCAAATGTCTATTTTTGAAATTTATATCATCAGAGTACTTACAAGTTTGGGGCAAGAATGCTATTTTAATGTCAAATTAAAAAGGGAAAGAGTAATGATATCCTTAATCGTATCAAAAGATGGGAGGCCAAGTTGCTGATCCCAACTCTTTCTGATGGTTGAGGTAGGGGAGAGGATGACCCACTTAAATCGCCATCCATTGTAACTATTATAGCTGCTTTAGATTAAAACAAATCTGCTCTTTTACAATGTAATATCTTCAAAAGAACAATTCTCTAACAGTGAAATTTCAAGCATCAGTGGAGAAACACTATTTTTATGAAATGGGAGATGCTGTTCCCCAAAATAATATGATAGAGACACTATCCTTCCCCTCTGAGCCCAGCTGGCCCTACTGACCTGTTGGCACACACATGCCCCTCAAGAAACCCATTGAAGTACTAACCATAACAGGCTTCAGAGAACTTGCAAATGATTTAGAACCGTTGCCTTTGGTGTTATCAACACCACACTCTAACCAACTAAGCTAACCAGACGGCCCCTTGAAATCTTTTTATATGGCAAAAGTTATTGCTGGCCCTTCCTCCCATTCATCCAATTCTGTAAACATCTTTTGCAATAGAAGATGAACAGCCTAATGGTTAAGCCTCTTAAGAGAATGGTTTTTGGAGTCAGGATGCTGGGACCAAATCCCAACTCTGCCACTTACAGGAGAGGATCTCTCTCTCTCTCTCTTTCTTTTTTCTTTTTTTGGCCGCTGGCTGGTACAGTGTAGAGTCTTTCTTAACAGATCTCCAATTAACTGACTCACCAGTGTAATCAATGCACCAAACAGCCTGGCAGAAGTCCATTACAACCTCAGTGCTCAAGGGTGGCAGGTTAAGTTATCTCTAGTACATCTGAGCACTTCAATTTCAACTGCTTTTACATAACTGCAAGTCATGCCCTAGAACGTCAAAGGGGAGCTCTTCACACTTACATCAAACTCTAGGGCTCATTAGCGGTGAGATTTTATTTACTGTTCCTTAAATTTACTGTTTCTTGGACTAATTTCAAAGCTAAGCAAGCATATGTTTCAATTCTGTTGTTTTGATGGTAGCTAAAAGACAAAAATAAAAACACATACACTTTCCCGGGTTTCAGTGTATACTATGCTTGGCACACAGTACAATCCTTTTTTTTTTTTTTTCCCCTTGCAGCTGGCTGGGTTGGATCCAGACCTGTGAACTAGGTGTTGTAAGGCTGAGCTCTAACCGGCTGAGCTCTAACCAACTGTGCTAACAGGCCAGCCCAACAATCTTTGATCAATGTCATTCTTCTTGTCGCTTTCTCTCTTTGCTACTCAATGCTTTCTGCTCTATCACCAAAAAATAAACTCAAAACTATGTAAAGTAACCAAAACTTCCTGAAATTCTCCTTGAAAATGCCTTTTGTGGATGAAATTGTGCTTTTGTGTAATTAGATAACATAATATGGAACTATTAATTAATACTAATGCAAAGGAATGGGAACTAGCAGAGAGCTCTATTAACTTTACTATCCTCAGCAAAGATGGAAAAGAAACATGCCAAGATTGTTAACAGTAGTGATCTCTAGCAGAATCAAGGAACTGGGGGCAAGTGTGGAAGAGTGTACATTGCAAAGGAATGGGAACTAGCAGAGAGCTCTATTAACTTTACTATCCTCAGCAAAGATGGAAAAGAAACATGCCAAGATTCTTAACAGTAGTGATCTCTAGCAGAATCAAGGAACTGGGGGCAAGTGTGGAAGAGTGTACATTCTTACAGGGCAGAGGGATATTTATAGTTTGAAAAAAGTGCACCCACCCTATTCCCTAACCCCCAGCATGAGAATTACTGTTTTAGATTTTCTAGGCCTGGTCTTTAACAGCAGACAAATACAAAATCATGTGCTTCTCTGGCAGCTGACATTTTATGCTCAATTTCAAATATCACGTGGTCAAGCTGATGTTAGACCTTACAACAATCAAGATAGCTCTGCAAAGGGAAGCTAACCACATCAGGGCTTGTTTATCTTCAATCTCCACACTTCTCATGCCTTGAATTTCTGAATTCTGAGTCCTGCCTCAGGTACACAACAGATGTGCCCACATTTGCCAGGGCACAGATGGTGATGAGGGATAAAAATTAAACCTTTAATTTCCTCAGAGCCTGGCAAGTTCTCTTTCAACCTGCCTATGAAAAGAAATTAAAAATTAAAATACACACTTAACTAATATGTGATTCCATTTTTTCACCATCAGAACACACTGACACCCAGTAAACAAAATCTCTCTTCTAATGAGCCCTATAGTTTGCTGTGCATTTGAAGAACTCTCCTTTGACATTCTAAGGCTTCTTTTTATTCCATGGCTGCTAATTTAGCATGACTTTTCATAAGCAAAAGCCCACCCAGACAAAGGAGGAATCTGTGCCCCCCACCCCTCGCTTTTCACCCTGCAGCAGGGCAGCTAACAGCAATGATTTTCATTCAGAAAACAAACCTGTAACACAAACACAGGCAGAGCAAAAGAATTATTTTGTATGGTTATGTTCATTGCTTAATTTTCTCCTGGAATACATGATGAATTTTTATAGAGGGCAGTGGAGGAAGGAAAGAACCACATTCAAAACCCAACATCATTCTCCTCTACAGTGTTATTTCAAAAGCCAGATAAAAGCGGAATGAGGAGGCTGGGAAAAGAGTGTACAACATAGCAGTTCTGAAAACCACCCTCTGTTTCGTTCTGGCGCCCGGAGGTTACACCCAGGCATCACCATAGCTTCTCTCCTCACAGAAAATTAACTGGTAAGTGCTTTCCTCTTTGTTTTCCTCAAACTGACACATTTGCAGCTGACCTAATGAGGATTCCTGCAGATGATTTATTTATAAAACAGCATTTTTACTAACTACCAGCTGGCAAAAAAGGAAAAGGACTCCTGATCGTTTACAAAATGCTCTGTCTGCAGAGTCATGTTTTTGGTCTTGTCAAGAGTATTCAGGGACGATCCCAGGATTTGCTACAGTGGAAAGAGAAAATGAGGATGTTGCTGAGGTGGGGGTGGAGGGACAAAGTCAGTGATTTTCTCAGCTTTTATCTAGATAATTGCAACTCATAAATTTGGATTTTAGGTAGTTGTGATACAGAAATAGTCAAACATCATTTGTGGAAAGCTCACTGTAGATAAACTAGTAGGAGAAACGGTATTCTCTTTAGATAACAAGGTAGGGAAAAAGTTCTAAATTGAATTGTAATGTGATCCCCCTCTTTTTAAAATGAACAGCTTGTGGTTTGTTGTACTCTCCCATTTCTTTGTTGTTGTTGCATTTTTTTAAATCAATTGCTTGGGAGAATAATTGGTACCTGGGTAAATGGCTAAATGCAGGGGCTGCTGGGAGAGCAGTGTTCAGCTATTTGATTGTTCCTTTTCTAGTCAGAAAACTGTTGAGTACCAATTGCCTTTTGTCTGATAGTTTATGTTTTCCTCCAAATGAAAGCTAATAAAAACCAAGTAAAGGTTTGGTAACAGAACTTTCACCAGCAAGGATTCTTTGAAATTGCCCTTTTCATTTAAGACAAATGCATTCACTCAAGAATCCCCAAACCTATTGCTAAATTAACCCACTAGCATTTTTGTTTGTTTTGTAAAAAAAAAGGCCAAAGGACCTTTCTCTGGATCTCACATTACCTATTACAAGTAATTCCTCTCACTCAATAATACTCACATGTTTGCACATCTTCTAGACACTAAAGGATTAAATTTTTCATGGCCTATACTTATGATTTTATCTAAGATTTAAAACTTTTAGTTTGTAAAAGAAAGTCAAACATTTTCTGTGTTACTTTACCATCAGTTGTCATCTTCCTGAGGTAAATATTTCACTTAACATTCCCTTTTCAAAGGCCATACCACATGGAGCAATTTGCTAATATATTTATTTATTATCTTTGACCTAGAGGTCCCCTTTCTGTACAGGTAAACTATAGAAGTAATTTTGAAAGGAGAACTTTAGGCTCAAAGATTTTTTTTTTCTGAATTATTTATAATTTTAAAAAATCAGAATCAACCTAAATATCCAACAGTAGGAGAATATTTAAGGAACTACTTAATACCATCTTAATGAAATATTTTGCAATCATTAGAAAATCATAGTTTGGAGGGCTATGTAGCATCATGGATGGGTGCATAGTGAAAATGTTAACCATGATTTTAATTATGGAAAAAATAAATGAGGTTGAAAAGATTGAATAGGCAAAATTGGTAATAGTTGTGTTAAGCTGATGGTGAGTTTACGGGTAGTCAGGGAGGAGGGACTTTTCCTGTACCCTCCTAGGCTTGTAATTACAGTCCTGCAAATTAAACTGACAAAAGAAAGATTAGCAAGAGGAAACACAACATTTAACCATGTGTTTTCAATACTGGATTTTCATTAATGTAGGTATAGGAATTCACAGAGAAATGTGACTCAAAGGGGCAGTTAGAATTTGGGGCTTATAGGGCCGGCCCGTGGCTCACTTGGGAGAGTGTGGTGCTGATAACACCAAGGCCAAGGGTTCAGATCCCTATATAAGGATGGCTGGTTTGCTCACTGGCTGAGCGTGGTGCTGACAACACCAAGCCAAGGGTTAAGATCTCCTTACTGGTCGTCTTAAAAAGAAAAAAAAAGAATTTGGGGCTTATAATCCCATCTTAATAGGGGAAGTGGAGTGGGAGAAGGGAACTTATAGAAAACAGATGACTTTTTGTAAAGATAAATGGCCCCTTCGAACAGATGGGTGATATGATAGTTTTTGTGACAATGTCTGTTTAGGTGTGGAATGGAGAATTCTCTTCTCCAGGGATAAGAGTCGGTCTGTCCTGGTTGCAAGTGAGTTCTTGAGTTCTTTTAGGAGGCTCTGCTTGTAGTGAGATAAGTGATTTTTGGAACTCATTCCTTCTGCTCCAAGTAATTTCTATGCCACAGTGGTGTATTCTAGATCCCTTCAGGTGGACAGATCCTTTCTTTTCCCCCAAACTTTCTCTAATAGTACATTTATTTTATAATTAAAAAACTTCATAAAATTGAAAATTCCTATTTCTTTCTTCAAGTCTCAATTTTCATAAAAACCACAAATAGGTAAACCTTTAATTCTGATGGGGCTATTCAGTCCTTACTCCTCTGGTTTCTTTGGTGATATTAACTTCAGTAAACGTTTCTACCTCATAAAACTTTTCATGAAAGTAATGGACACTAAGGCCACAATAAAAACTGATAGTATAAAAATTAAAAGGTTAGAAAAAACATAACTAATTAAAGCAAGATTACTAACATAGCACTCTCTTAAAGTTAGACAATTTCCAAATATTCCTCACATCTGTGATTGCATGACACCTTCACACTTGCTATTTTGATTTTGCCCATCACCCCAGAGCTCTAATCCCAACTCAGCCTTGAACTTGTTACGTGGCATGAGGCAGAGCAAACTTTCTGGACCTCGGTTTTCTTTCCTCTAAAATAAATCTTATGGGCTAGATTCCTTCCAGCTCTCCATTTCCTTTTTGGGTTTTGTTTGTTTGTTTTGTTTGGTCAGTTGTTTTCTTTCTTACCTCTGCTTATTAGGTCATTGCTTAATGTGATATATGTAATGGGCATCTAGCAGATACAGTGGATACTTAATAAATATTCAGTGAAAAAAAATCTTTATTCAAACTTTATTTTCATTTTCTTCAGTTATCTTATGTTCTGACTATTCTACTTATACTCAAATAAGATGAAAAAAGGTTTTCATTGTTAGAGAAAGTGGTGTCAATAAGAACAAAGTATACATGAATCAGGTACAAATTTTTGATAGAAATTATGCAGTCTTCCCTTCAGCTGGATGATCGATTAGAGGGTGGAGGGGCAGAGGTTAGGAAAGGGCCCTGGCTTTGCCTACAGGAGAGTTTGTCTGTGTGAAGCAAACTGATCCAGGGGAGAGCCAACTGACCAAACTTGGTCTCACTGGACCCCTGTTCAGCAAACAAAATCAACCAGCCCATGTAAATTTGAGTGCATGAAACACTTAATACAGCAACTCTCTATAGGACAGCAAATAAAGACTTGCTTTGTGACAAAGAAATTCATCAAATCAAATAAAAAAGGTAAGCTAGGGCTTTTTGAATGATATAAATTATTGTGTTTTACTCTCAGTTTTCACCTCCATGTTCAAGCAAAGGAAGTTGGGAGTTGGAAAATTTGGTTACTTACTTGGAAGTCTGATATTTTCCCCCTTTTTTGGTGGGGAGGGTTGTTTGGCTATCATTAACTGAGAGAAACCACCTGTACTTGTCACTTTCAGTCAAGTAAATATTGGCTAAATCATTGGCTAATGCGGTGGGAAAAGACACAAGGCTGTTAAAGGAAGGTTCTTGCCCTCAGAAAGCTTAGAGGTGTGCTGCCTGAGACAAAGAATTAAGTTATTATACTAAAAAGTTTTAAAATTGTATAGTACCTACAGTATATGGAGTTCAGAAAAGGGAGGGCTGGATTTGAACTGGAGTATGCAGATTAACAGTTCAGGGAGGAGGTGAGACAGTGAGAGAGGTGGGTATTGGTGTCTTACCATGAGTCAAGGTGAGAAGAAAAGATCTGGACTTGATTGGCCAAGTGATGGGACAGACCTACCAGAAGTCCTTCATGGCCCAAGGAGCCTTGTGGAAGAACATACTGGGAGGGAGGAGGCTGGAACAGCCTTCAATCTCTTGGAGGAGAGGAGGTATGAAAGCAGCCTGCAAATAAAAATGGAAAGAGTTGTTTCTACTCAAAAAGAGTGCAAGCAGCCCTATTTTGAGACTCCTCTAACAACAACAAAAAATCTGTATGTTGTAAGTGAATTCTCCACCCTACTGTCTTCACTTCACCCAAAACTCTACCCAACTTTGACAAGGCAAGTAGCCCAGTGATCGGGCAACACACCTGCTGGAGACGTGGCACCCAAGAGGAGCAGACTTGTATACAAACACAGTAACTCACCTCCTGGAGGCCCTGGAAGTACTTGTGTAGAGGGCTCTTCTTGGGTATGTTATACAGGGGTACTTCAAAAAGTTTGTAGAAAAACAGAATTAAAAGATAATACAAATATTTCCATGAACTTTTTGAAGCACCCTCATATGTAATGGGCAAATGCAGTGGGCGATGTACCAGAAAATGGATCCTAAGTTAAAATTAAATATTACCCCATTTGTACCTACTGTCAACTGGGAAATTTTCATGATATAAGAAAACTGTATAGGGCTGGCTGGCTGGTTAGCTCTGTTGGTTAGAGCAGGGTATTATAACACCAAGGTCAAGGATTTGAATCCCCATACCAGCCATATGTCAGGGAAAAAAAAACAACAGAAAAGTATACTTATATGGCCCTTTACATTTTTCACTGTGCTATTCTGGCCAACATTGCTGATTACTATCCAGTACGGAATCAACTTGTAACTAAATTCTGCGATGAAGGTTCTTGCTTAAATCCCCAAATCCTATAGTCCCAGTGTTACTGATCTACATACAGTATTTCAGAATTTAAGCAGGCCAGATAATACAGCTGTGCCCAAAGCCAGGCCAATCCAGTTAAGACCAGGAAGTTCCCAAGTAGACTCTGGTTTGAGAGGTATTTCAAAATTCTACTCAGGCCCACCAGTAGATATTTTTGAAACAGCAAAAACAGGAGGCCTTGTTGGTATCACTGGAAAAAAGTAATCTCTAGGTGACAAAGTTCCAAGCAAGGTGATGTGAAGAAAGTGATTGATTTCATGAAGTTTCCCACATAAAGAATTCAATTAGGAGAGGTCATAGTC